TCTAAATTATAAATATTTTGTTACTAGCAAATTGAAGTGTTGCATTAGTATTATTTTTATGAGCTTCTTGTATTTTTTTAATTTGATTTTTATTTAATTTAAAATAGTACGTCATTTTATAATACAAAATATTATAAAATTTATTCATCTATCAAATTCATTCCTAAACGTCTTTTTCCTTTCATTGCATATGCAGTTAAAATAGCCGGAATTTTTTCAGATATAGGACTATCAGGATCATTATATCTTTAGAATGCTTTTTGTTGTAAAATTTTATCAGCAATATGTCTTGATTTAATGTCTTTATGATTTTTGTAAAAATAATCATGTTCTCTTGCAGCTTCGTCTAATTTTGTTGATTGGTTGTATATTTTGTTCTTCATTTTACTCTAAATCTGTAAATGGTCCTAAATATTTATATTTAGGATAATGCATCGGAAGTAAATATTTACAATTCAAAAAATCATTAAAAAAGCCTGCACCTTTTATAATTAAGAATTTTAAGTTTTTTACTATGATAATAATTATTTCCTACTCTTTCTTCACTAGATATATAATATATTTGTTCTCTTAATTGTTTTATATGTATGTCATTTGTTATTTCTTTTGGTAAATTTATCACATATTGTAGTAAATATTCAATACCTTTAGGATCATCTATTAAATGTTCCATTTTTGTTTTAAATAATTTAAGAATCCCATTTAGTTCATTATGATAAGTATAATTTCCTGCTTTTTGTTCAGCTGCTATTAAATGTAATCTTTCAGTTAATTGTTTCATATTATCTATCCAACGATATTCAATTTAAAATTCGATATTTATTTTATTTGTATAATTCATTAAACCAGCTCCTTTATTTTCTGTTGCTTTTGTAGGTTTTAAAATTTCTGTTGTTGGTATTGAGGAAAATCTGGTATTGTAGGATTTAAATTTTCTGTTGGTGTTGTTGGTGTTTTTTTTTTCTATTTTAATTTTTTTCCAAATAGGACTAATCAATTTTATATATTTGTTACCTCCACTTGATCTAACACTATTTGTATTTTTATCAAATTGTTTGTATATTGCATCTGTTTCAAGTAATATTTGTGTATATTTTTCTAAATCTTCTTCATTATATTCATCTTGTTTTGGAGCATCTGATCTCGTTAATAGACTCCACATATTGTTTATTTGCTGAACTATAACATTGATTTAAAAAAATAACTGAAATATTTTTTGGTCTTGATCTATTCATATATTCATAAATAGGTTTTTGTTCATCTTAAGGAATATCATCAAAAACAACTAAGCTATCACGTTCACATTCGTCTACAGATATATAAAAATAAATCTCAGGTATATCTTCAAATATTTCTATTAGATCATTATAAACTGGTTGGTCGATATTTTTTGTAAAAATATATAATTTTTCATAATTAGTCCAATGATTTAGAACTATATTCCTCAACACCTCTGTTTTACCAGAGCCTGATGGACCAGTTATTTGAAGTCGCATAGGTAAATGAAATAAAGATTTTATTTTATTTTTTTATTTTATATGGTTTTATTATAAAACATTTTTATAATACAATTTTTTTTTTTTTTTTACTATTATAAACAATGTATAATATTTTTAAAAAGTATGATCAGTTTATTGAAAGTGTTCAATATAAAACTTTTACACCTATGAGTAACACTCAACTTAATACACCTAATAAAGATACCATTTTTAAAATAAATAACCAGGATAATTTTCTGGATATTAGAAAAACAAAGTTTAATATGTCTGGTAAATATTTGCAAAAAGATGGAAAAGAATATTCTAAAGATTCAAAAATACAACTAATTGATGATTTTCCTAAACATTTATGGATTAAAGTTCAAGTTAAAATACATGGTAAAACAATAACTGAAATTGAGTATGTAGGAAAAGTAAGTACAATTAACGGTGTGATAGGCTGCAACTCTTTGGATTCAAATGGACCAAGTATAAACTCAGGTTCAGTAAGCAAATTTAAAGGTGGAGGTAATTTTAATGTCATGGGTCTTTTATCAGAATTTGGTTTACCATTTTTCAATGACGTTTCAATTCCTGTTATCAATTGTGATATGGAATTATGTTTTACTAGAAATACAGATGATGATGCATTACTAAAAAAAGATGTAGTTATTGAAAATAGTAAAGATTTAAGAAAAACTGTTGTAGGAACAGACGATGGTAAAATTATTATTGATGAATTTTCAATTAAAATTCCAGTTGTACGATACGCTGCTTTACAAAATGTTTTATTGGTAAATGAAATAACTACATTTTCTAAAGAAAAAAAGTATACTTTTAATTTTAAAGCGTGGCAAATGATTGAGGAAAGAAGTATAAAAGGAAAAACTATTAAAATTAATGTAACAAATGAATATCGAAGTAAAAATCAACCTATGTTCTGTGGTTTTGTATTTCAAACAAATAAATTAAATACTCAAGATCATGACCCTGGTGAATTTGATAATTGTCGTGTTAGAAGCTATAGTTTTGAATTAAATGTAATAAATTATCCTGCAGAACGTCAAGATGAAGATTTTAATAATAATAAGTTTTGTCAATTTTATGATGATTTGATGTCATATAAATTAACTTATCATAAAAATACTCAAGAACTTCCATTGATGTATAATGATCCAACTGATTTTAAGGATTATAGATCAATATTTCTAACTAAAACCGTTTATCAACCAGAAAATATCCTTTTAAATAAAAAAAATATTATTTTACATATTGAGTTACATGAAGATTTACCTAAAGATACAATTTGTTATATTTTTTTCATAAGAGAAGATGAATTTTTGTTTGATGTTGAAAGAGGTACTATTGAAGAAGTATAAAAATAGAAAAATAGAAAAAAGAAAAAGTTGGAGTACTCCAACCTTTATCTCCTAGTAACTATTATTTTCAATAGAATATTTCTATTGAAAAATAATTTAATATTTATTCTTTAATTAAATCAAGATAAACAATAAAATCATCATTATTAAAAACATATTTTTTACCATTTTGATCTATAATATCTATTTTTATTTCTTGAAAATGTCCTTTAACTGGTATGTATATTATTGAATTAGTTTTTGTATATGGATTATCATAATCATAATAAAAATTACACAAAACATCTTCCTCGATGTGATGACTATCCTTAACAGATGAAAAAGATTTTTCAATTATATTGCAATGTACATTTAATAATCGTTTATTTTTATTATTATTATTTAAGACTTCTCCAATGTGTTTATATAAAAAATACATTTTATCAATCCCTAAACTTGTTTTAAAATTTTGATCCATCAAAAAATCAGTTTTTGAAGTAAATGTAATACAATTATTATCATTTTGTAATTTGATACCTGATGGTAATTTACTATTCAATTGATCAATTGAATAATTTCCCTTTATCATAGTTTTAATGTTATTACTTCGACTCGTTATAACACCAGTACAATTTTTAAAAAAACCTTGTGTATAATAATATAGGATTTATTAAATAAGCATCGATATTATAATCATGCAAGTTACTATCAATAGTTAATTTATTTTTTTCATCTATTGAAAGTATTATATCATCATTTCTATCAGTATTCAATATTGCTTCTAATTCAGATAATAAATAAATACCAATAAGTATTTTATAATTTGTATTTGAATTTACATCTTCATTAAATATTTTAATCTCACATTCTTTCTCTATATTTATATATTGATCATTGGAAGTAGGAACATACATTGCTGATTTATTAATAGTTAAGAGGACGTGTCACGAAATATTTACGCGACCAAGAGGATGCGCTGTTAGGTGTTTTCAAGATCCGCAAGCGCGCGGCGCTTAAGTCACGCCTACTATTCACAATTCGCAACCGGCTGACGGCGGCGACGGACCTTATCGGTGATAATCAGTGTTGCCAGATGTACGGTTTATACCGTACTTATACGGTTTTTTTACTCCGTGTACGGTGTACGGTACAGAAATCAAAACCGTACGTAAATATACGGTATTTCAATTTTCAGGCGGTAAATACTAAACATATTTGTATTTTTATTTTTTTTTAATGCCTTGGGGCTTTATTATTATTTAAACGACCCAAATGTCTTTATAAAAATATGTTTAACAATTATAATATATATTATGTTACATACTAGATATAAATTATATATATCGAACAAAAGTTTTTCGTTGGCCTTTTAGGTAGAATACCCGGATGTAGGTAGTATCTATAGGTGTTAGCCGTTATATTACAACTATTACAACTTTATAGATAATATAATAATAAGACGTGCGATTAATTCAGCATTGGAATTTGGAATCACCAGCAAACGATTATTAACCGATACGTTTGTGGTCTGTCGTTTGCTACCAGCTATTGCGGCGAGTAGTCATATTCTGTTCGTTATTATATTGTAAATTTATACCACGTCTCAATAAACTTAGATAAAAAATCGTTAGGGTTTGTGGATTTGTAGAGAATTTAAATTAAAATAATATGTCCGATTATGAAGATACACCAGAGGTGAGTACTTAACATAGTTGTAATTGTTAACAATTATTGGTAAATAGATAATTTATGGGCATCTACGTATTGTTATTACTTATTAATAAATAATATAAAAAAATATTTATTTAATATACATATATAGGATTAAATTTAATATATAGGTTATTTATTATTTTAAAAATAGAGTTTAATAGAAGACAGTGACTGTGATGGACCATCGACTCCAAAAAAAAGGCGACGAATGCGGAACGAACTTTCCAGAGACGAAAAAGGTACTCATCGGAAACAAAAATACCGTCCATTATGGGAAAAAAATGCGGAATTCAAAGATTGGTTGAGAGCTGACAATAATGATTGTTACCGGGGAAAATGTACAAAATGTAATGTGAGTTTTATTTCTGAACTGACGTCTATTAAAAACCACGCAAAAAGTATCATCCACAAAAATGCAGTAAGAAACACACCTCTTAGCTCTCAAAATTGTATGTCGTCGTTTGTAAATAATAAAAGTGACCCAACAGATGAACAAATTAAGATTGCAGAAATTAAATTATCAGGTTTCTTAGCGGAACACAACATAGCGTTTTTAGCTATGGATCATCTTGAACCATTATTAAAAAGTATATTTCCCGATTCTAAAATTTGCCAAAAAATGAGGTTAAAACGAACAAAAGCAACAAACATCATTAAAAATATAATTTCTCCTGTTGAAAAAGAATCGCTATCGAGTATACTAAATAAAACTAAATTTTCTGTCATGATTGACGAATCCACTGATATTGCATGTATATCAACAATGTGTATTGTTGTACGCTATAGTGGTGATAATAAGATTAAAACACAGTTTTGGGATTTGTTACCCGTGTATAATTTGGAAAACCCCGAGGAAGTTAATGCTGGCGCTACCGCTGAAAACATTTTCATAAATGTTATTGATGCGTTCAAAAAGCATAATGTCAATGTTGAAAATATAATAGGATTTGGATCCGATGGTTGTTCGACGATGATGGGTAAAAATAATTCGGTGTCTAGCAGAATGAAAGAAATGTTTCCTGGTGTATTTATAATGAAATGTATATGCCATTCACTACATTTAGTTTGTAGTGAAGCTTGTAAATCGTTACCAAGGAGGTTAGAAGATTTTGCTCGAAACGTTTTTAATTTCTTTTCTCATAGTAGCAAACGACAAAGTCAATTCGTCCAGTTTCAAGTATTTTTGAATTTAGATGTGCACAGAATATTACATCCTTCCCAAACAAGGTGGCTTTCCTTGTTTAGTGTTGTTGAGCGATTATTGGAACAGTGGGATGCCCTTCAATTATTTTTCAGTGAAAAGTGGCTATCAGAAAAATTATTATCGGCAGAATCTATTTTTAACCAGCTAAACGATCCATTTACAAAAGGATTTTTTTATTTTCTTGAGTGGATTTTACCCAAATTCACTATGCTCAACCAATATTTTCAAACAGATCAAATAGTTTTAAATACATTACATGAAAAAATGGAAATATCTTATAAAGATTTATTAATGGTCTATATGAAAAGAGATTATGTTTTAAAAACTCCCCTATCAGAATTGGATCCAACGCGTAACGATCAATTTTTAAAACATTCTGATATCTATTTAGGAGTCAAAATTATGAACCACATTTTACTTGACTCTGTAAAAAGAAGGCAAGATTTGTTGACAAACTTCTACATGAACTGTGTTGAGTTTTTAAAAGTGAGTTGTGTACAAATAAAAAAACGGTACGATTTTTCTGATCCCATTCTACCTTTATTAAATATTCTCACACCGTCTGTTGCTCTTTCTGATAAAAAGAGATCCAAATACAACACAATAAATAGTATACTGTGTCTTACTCAAAAACTCCCCAGGATAGTAAAAACTGATTTACTACAAGTAATTGATGATCAATGGCGTTTAATGTGTTTAGTAAATTTTTCCGATGATATTACCAATGAAAAAGAACCAGATCAATTTTGGATAAAAATAAAAAATTTAGAATCTCAACAATTCCAAGAGTTAGCAACATTTGCATTATCAGTTATGTCATTGCCGCATTCGAATGCATGCTGCGAGCGAATATTCAGTAAAGTTAATAGAATAAAAACCAAGTCAAGAAATAAACTAATAACTAAAACTGTTTCAGCAACTATAATGACAAGTGAAGCTATAAAAAATGGTTCATGCTACAATTTCCAACCATGCAAAAAAATGGTTGATTCTATGACATCTATAAATTTGTATCCCACAAAGATTAATGACGAGATAGAAAAGAGTGACGATTTTATTTTAGATGATTAATTATATTACCTACTTATTATGAAGACTAATGACGAAACTGAAATAAGTGAAGATTTGATTTTAATGTATTTTGATGTTTTTATACTATTATTATTTAAGTTGCTACAGCGATCATTAATTTACGACCTATATTTTAATCATTTTTTTGATGTTGAATATCTTGTTATAATACTATACTTACTACTATTTAGTGAGTATTTATGTTACCTACTGGCTGTTGCAGTGATTTTTAACTATTGACTGTATTGTTATACTTATTTGATGTTACATACTTTACTAAAATACAATTAATACTTAACAATTTAATTTATAACTTTATATGATTTCAAAAAAACTAAAAAGTTATTTGATATTTCATTAATAACAAATTAACATATTATTTTGAATTTAGATATGTCTATGCTGGTAATTGATAACTGATAACAACGACTGATAACGTGCTGATAACAATATTGTAATAATTGTACCGCAAATACGGTAATTTATAGAAATGTACGGTAATGTACGATATATTTGAAGTTCTCCTATTGTACGGTAACATACGGTAATTTTGAATACTTTTTACGGTTTTCACATAAAACATTTCTGGCAACACTGGTGATAATAAACCGTATACCCACACAGACTTGTTTTTCTTCAGTAACAGAAGTACAGAACCGCCGACGTAGGACGCTGTCGTCTTTTTTGATGCGTGTGTTTTTTTCGTCGTCGTGTACCTTTATGTTTTGAAAAATCGTCCACCCGCTCTACCGTTACCACTTACCGTTCATCGTCGTCTATCACCTGCTTACCGTTACCACTTACCCTTCTACCATCATCTGTCACCTGCGCACCGTCTACCGTCATCCGTCACCCGGGACTGCAGCCGCCGTCACGGTTTTTATATTCATGTCTATACCAATTTGTGTATTTATTTATTTATGATTATTGTATGTTTATTTTTGTTATCAAAATTATCTTCCCCATTAGCTGGCCAGCACCTTATTGTGCCCTTTACCTATTTTATGTATTACTGTAATTATTCTACAAATAGTAGGCCGTTACCCGGCATAGAACTTACAACATTTAGTTCGTATTTCAAGAGTTACCTATCAAAAATATACGGTCCATTATTCACCGTAACATTGGTCCATCGAGCCTAGGATATACAGTGTGTAAACGGTAATCGAGAACACTCAATATCTCTACGTAGAGACCTGCTATTTGAATTCCGTTTTTTTGGCAGTTGTTATGACATAAAAATACACATTTTAATGGTCGTTGAATTTTTTTTACTTAATAAGTCACGCGCATGCGCATGTCAACTTTTTTTTTTAAATGGCAACCCCCTGCTTTAACCACTACTTATTTTTTGCCTATTTTTTTAATGAATTTTGGTAGTTGAATCAACTTTCTAAGTCCAAAATTGACCAAGTTACAGCCAATCAAAAAAAGAAAAAATTAGAAAAAAAATGCCCTCGATTTTCAGCTTTTTGATTGTAACTCTGAAAATAATTATTTTAGGATTGTTAAACATTGACATTTTTGTAACTAATTATTACGGTGATATTCATACGTTATTTTAACTTCAATTACTGAATAATTTTCTCGCGCTGAATCATGTTTTGTTCACGGCAGAGAACAGTTTGAACAATTCATTCGTTAGATTTTTTTTTTTTTTTAGATTTTTATTAACTAAATAAATTGGTAACTTAAATAAGAATTGAATTTGTTATTAATTAATAATTATTAATACGTTCTAATAGATCCATTAAATGTAAAGAAATAAACAACATACTAATTTACGTTTTTTCTGCTATAATAAGTTATATGATTTATTACACAAATTAAAGAGAAAATTATTCAGTAGGTAATTGAAGTTAAAATAACTTATGAATATCACCGTAATAAATAGTTACAAAAATGTCAATGTTTAACAATCCTAAAATAATTATTTTCAGAGTTACAATCAAAAAGCTGAAAATCGAGGGCATTTTTTTTTCTAATTTTTTCTTTTTTTGATTGGCTGTAACTTGGTCAATTTTGGACTTAGAAAGTTGATTCAACTACCAAAATTCATTAAAAAAATAGGCAAAAAATAAGTAGTGGTTAAAGCAGGGGGTTGCCATTTAAAAAAAAAAAGTTGACATGCGCATGCGCGTGACTAATTAAGTAAAAAAAATTCAAAGATCATAAAAATGTGTATTTTTATGTCATAACAACTGCCAAAAAAACGGAATTCAAATAGCAGGTCTCTACGCAAAGATATTGAGTGTTCTCGATTACCGTTTACACACTGTATATAATATATTATTCTAAGTGAAAATATTACTAGCGGTCTTTTACCGAAAAATCACCAATATTTCAATATTAATATAATTACAGAGATTTATGTGTACTATAGTAAATACGTATAATAAAAAGTGGGGGGACGAGGTGACCGAGCAGTCTAACGCGTCGGCTGCGGCGCTGGCAGTCGCGGGTTCGATTCTCTCGACCACCGGGTCGCATTTTTCTCCGGGCAAGTCACGGTGTCCGGAGAACAAGTGCCGCCATCCCCCACTCCGGGGCATGGCAGAAACCTACAGGTGCCCCATTCAAAATTCTGCCAAAAATACACCCAAGTGTAACACTCACCTACCGTTAAAAAACCTACAGTACCAACCCCCTTTCCAATGGCCTAAGTTTCCGCGGGATAATAAATAAAAAATAAAAATAAAAAGTGGGTTATTTGCATTATTATAATTAACGAAGCGTTGCGTAGTATAGAATTTGGACTTTGCCCGGCAGGCGTACGACGTTTCCGCGACGACCATTATAGCGTAGTAGATAAGAGGTGCCATCTTCGCAAGAACTCAGTCAAGGTTAAAAAGTAGCTTATTTCTGGAAAGTTACATACCGTATATACAGGGTGACGCAAATCTCAAATAACAAAAAAAAAAAAAAATATATTTTAACTGCTTTGTTATTTTGGTATATTGTTGGTTGTACCTACTGGCTTGAATTGCGCGTACCTTTTTTAGGGAGGGGAATATAGCGTCATGGGTGTTTTTGAAGAAGCAAAAATTCGCCTCTCGGACATTCAGAAACGAATCATGCGATTACGAGACGCTGGAGATGCGCTAAACAAGATACCGGTCACCAGGTCGGACAAAACCAAGTTTCGAATGATGTATGCCACCGTTCCGCGGATTAAGGAGGAATTCGAGGAACAGCTTTCGATTGTAATAAAACAACTCTGAAAACCGGAAAAAGTAAGTAAATAAGTAATAACCAGTAGCATCTCCCAAATAATAAATATAACACAATTCAAAACTAAAACAGCATACTATTATATCAATATAAAATATTATTAATTTATTAAATTATAAATCATTGTAATATAATTATATATTGCTATATATTGATGAACCTGCAATAATTAATGATAAAACGTCGCCACGAAGTAGGATAAATATGTAGGTTCAGCAGCACCTCCCCCTTAAATTTTACATGTAAAAACATAGACACTTCTGTATAGGCAATTCGAAGTACACGCACCTCCCAAACTTGTATTAATTACTCAATATAGGCAACCCGCAACACATATAAACTCGTCGCACGCCACTCGATCCGATAAGTGACCGACATATATCTTACCCCTTCCCCTTCAAATACATTACCTCCCCTTTTATTTACCCCTTTAAAAAAAAAAAAAAAAAAAATTATAATCTTCTAATATACATTTGTATCGACTATATCGAACACTTGTCTGACATATATTTTACCCCTTCCTAAACAAATATATTACTCCCCTCTTATTTTCCCTTTAAAAATAAAAAAAAAATAAAATATTTTGATGTAAATATGTATCGACTATATCATACATACAATACATACATGCTCATAATATCATATAAGGTAACAACATAACACATATCTAAAAATATTATACCATTTTCAGATTATAATCCCATTCGAACCTAAAGTATACTTCGCTAACATAGGCATACTACATCTCGCTAAAGCATACTTTATACATCGAAATGTATCACACACACATGGTCACAGTTATAAGAAATAAAACATTCCAATCCAACAGAGTACCACCCTAAATTATATTTTACACCCCACCACCCGTCCTCGCACCCTAACAACATCATCCGACTACAGACCAGTACAAGCCTGTAGTGACACGTCCGAGTATTGCCGATGAATTCCAGCCATAATGTATAGTACACAGAGCAATATGAGATCAGTCCGTTTACAACCGTTCAAGTGACAAGTCGTGTTATTTCAGAGTTTTTAAGTGTTTTTAAAGTGTATACAAATATTTTACAAGTTTTATAAAAATCAAATTATTTATTTTGCTTTAATGAACACCGTAGTTCATTTTTCCAACACTAGTTCTGATATTAGCGCATACGTTAATAATTCGCTCAGATAAAACTATTTCACACTGTTATTTAAAGTACAATATATTTTTCTATAATTCATTACCCATCTATTCGTTGAAGGGTAAAGACTTGTTTCGCGAGTTCGACTAGTATTCTTCAGTTTTCTTCAAACGTAATCATGTTCCCGTGTAGTATATGTGGTAAAACCTTTACTCGAATCAGTAGTCTACACAGACATGCCAAGTCACACGATTTTTTTTTATTTTAATAAATACATGTAATAATATATTAATTGAAAATATTTCCATACGATTATTGTCATAACGCTATTAAAAATATACATAAATAATTTTAATTTATTATATATTATATTTTTAAGTATAAACAGATATTTTAATAAATATATTTGACCATATTATATATATATATATATAATACAATATTATGAGTATCTTATTTTTCTATGAAAACGTATACATATTTAATATAATACCAATAAAAACATATATAGGCAGACTTTTTATATAAAGATCTTAATAAAATATTACGAACGCCAGCGTATATACATCTTACTGTTACTATTATTTCATGCTACACAAAAGAACGTTGTGTATTATTACTATAGCTGAGAGGTCTATATCATATTTGTTTTTGCTTTTACATATATAATATATATATATATATACATGTATGTAATACTAGAGCTTGACACCTACTTCATTTTGTATATTTTTAAAAATCGTATTTTCTATATGATAATCACATTTTTTTTTTAAATTCTTAATATTTCTTCAAGTACTTTTACTAAAAAACTTTTATATTTATAACAATTTATCTTTTCTATCTCATTAAAAAGTTTTTTAGATTTTCAAGCTGTAACATGCATTTCTAAAATGTTTAGCAAAACAATAGTAAAATTTTTTTTTTTTTCAGTTCAATCTCGCAATGGTCATAAGCGCCCATATCATACGGAAAATTCGAACGAAGCAGCAAATGCTAAAAAAACACGCATGAGCATCGCCAAGACACGAGGATTTATTAAGACAGGCACATCGTTATCGAATAAAATCAATTGGTATTACGTGAAAAATACTGATAATTTGACCATCTACAGAACATTTTTAGAATCAATAAAAAAAGACTTAATAGAACTACTCAAATCACTATCAACAAAACAACCAATTAAATATAATCTTAAATTAGAAGCAACATATGAACGCCCGAACGTGGAAAATTCAGCCGAGAATAGAGCATTTAAGACCTCAGCTAAGGAATTGTTTATAGATACAGATATCGAAGCTAAAATTAATCAAGATTTTGCCAATCTTTTGCTCGAAGAAGAAATTTATACTTCTAAAGGAAGTGGATTTACGTTACAATCAATAGATTGTTTACTGTTAGGAGTATATAATTATACGCCTATGTGTGATTCGTCTTATATTACACTTCCAGAGGACATTAAAAATAAAAAAGCAATTATCAATCCTCAAAACTCGGACCAACAGTGCTTCAAGTGGGCAATTCTAGCCAGACACGTTTCGGGTAAGTTTAAAAATCAAGTGGCTGAAAATTATACATCGCTCGAGGACAAATATAATTTTTCTGGTTTAACATTCCCAACACCTGTGAGGGAAATAAAAATATTTGAAAAAAATAATCCGAAAATTTCAGTCAACGTTTATGGATTGAAAAAAGAAAAGAATAAGAAACATATTGTTTATCCACTGAAGGTTGTGGATGAAGAAAAAAAATATCATTCCGATCTCTTACTAATTACTGATGGCAACAAAAGCCACTACACTTACATTTCTAACCTTTCGAGACTTGTGAGATCACAAATAACCGGACATGAAGAGAGCGATATTTTGCAAACGTTGCTTCACCAGTTTTGACAATATACATACAAAATATAAGTTAAAAGGTCAGGCCGGGCTTGAACAACATAAGTTGATATGTGGAGCACATAAGCCAATTCTACCTAAGATGCCTGAGCCCGGTACATTATTACAGTTCGATGGGTGGAGTAACGCTCAAAGACATCCATTCGCTATATATGCCGATTTCGAGGCACTCCTTGTTAAATGTGACGAAATAAAAGGCAAGAAAACAGGAGCTTTTCAAAAGCACGAGCCAATGAGCTATGGACTTTTCGTAAAGGCTTCAGAAAGCGTCCCCGTCGATTTGCTTGAGAAATATGAGATACTAACATCAACTATTATTCATCGCGGAAGCGAGTCACACCAGGATGTAGCCAAACGTTTCGTTAATGAAGTGACAGAGATCGCGAGAAGAGTTCAAGATTTACTTAAAACAAATAAACCCATCATAATGACAGAAAAAGAGCAAATAGCACATGTATCGAAAGTTACATGCAATCTATGTGAATGTAATTTTACTAACAAAAACCAAAAGGTGGCAGATCACTGCCATCTATCAGGAAAATTTAGGCAAACTATGAAATACTTGCAACCTGAAACTCCAAAAACCTAACTTTGTACCGTGCTTTCTACACAATATGTCTAATTACGATGCATATTTTATCGTGACCGAACTCGGAAATGACACTAAATCAATCTCAGTGATTCCGAACAGCGAAGAAAAATACATTTCATTTTCAAAACACGTTACCAACAACTTTTCAATTCGATTCATAGACTCTAGTCGATTCATGGCATCAAAGTTATCAACACTCGTAGAAAATTTATTAACACCAGGGTTCGAGAAGTTTAAAGAAACATCAAAAGCATTCGTACCCAGAGATATGAATCTCGTCACACGTAAGGGTGTATACCCTTACGAATTTACCGATAGTTGGGAAAAGTTAGAAGAAACAATTTTACCTCGTAAAGAAGATTTTTACAGTTCACTGCACGAATCACATATAGACGATGAGGAATACGAACACGCAGTCACAGTATGGAACCATTTCAAATGCAAAACCCTAGGAGAATATAGTGATTTATATCTAAAAATTGACGTGCTGCTGTTGGCTGACGTGTTCGAAAATTTCAGAGACATGTGCATTTCTACGTACAATTTAGACCCTGTTTACTACTTTACAGCTCCAGGTTTTAGTTTTGACTGTATGTTGAAATATACCAAAGTCAAACTAAAATTACTCTCTGATTTTGACACCCACTTATTTTTTGAAAATTCAATCCACGGTGGCCTCACACAAGCAAGTATGAGGTACGCTAAAGCTAATAATGAAAAAATCCAAGATTATGACCCAACAAAATCCAAGTCATGGATAGTTTACCAAGATTGTAACAATTTGTACGGATGGGCAATGTCACAGCACATGCCATACGGTGACTTTAAATGGGTGGAGCCTAAGTTAGACGGATTAGATGCTTTGACGCCGACGTCAGATATAGGCAGAGTGTATGAGGTAGACATATCATACCCTAATGAACTGCATGACCTACATAACGATCTTCCATTTTTACCTGAGAAAAAAATTCCTCTTGGTTCAAAAGTGAAAAAACTTATGGCGACACTTCATTCAAAAAAAAATTACGTAATCCATTATCGAAACCTACAGCAAGCCATGGCAAATGGATCAATTGTAGAAAAAGTACACAGAGTTTTAGAGTTCAAACAATCGGATTGGCTTGCAAAATACATTAAATTAAACACCGAAATGAGAAAAAAAGCGAAGAATGAATTCGAAAAGGATTTTTTTAAACTCTTAAACAATGCCGTTTTTGGGAAAACCATGGAATCTTTAAGAAAACGTTTTAAGATGGAGCTAGTTTCATGTCCACAAAGATTACAAAAACTCATCAACAAGCAAACATTTAAACATTGTACGACATACAGTGAAAATCTTGCTGCTATCTCATTGGAAAACAAAATTATTATGTTTAACAAGCCAATATACAAAGGTAACAATTTTACTTGCATAAAAAAAAAAATTTATTTTTTTTTTTAGGTTTCGCAGTATTGGACATCAGTAAGACCATGATGTACGATTACCACATGTACTTCATGTAATGAAGGCGCATTATGGTAATAAAATTACATTATGGTACATCATGGTTTTACTGATGTCCAATACTGCGAAACCTAAAAAAAAAAATTAATAAAAATGATAAATAGGTATTAAAATATGAATTTTTTTTTATTATATTTAGATTTGTCATTCAAAATCCTTTTTTTATACTAGATTTTTTATTCAAAAAGGATTTAAATATTTTGATCTACATGGATTTTTTTATTCTAATTACATTTTTTATTTAATTTATATTTTTATTTAACTATAATTTTTTTATCTGATTTAGATTTGTTTATGTAATAATGGTTTTTTTATTCAAATTATTTTTCGTATTAATTTTATTTTTTTTAATGTAAACATTTTATTATTCAAACAACATATTTTTATTATAATATTAGATTTTTAATCAAATTAGATTTATTAGATGTATTCATTAAATTACATTTTTTTATTATAATATAATACATAATACATATGTATATTATACAGATTTTTGTCATCACCTATGATTTTTTATTCAAATTATTTTTTAATACCTATAGATTATGTGTCAGTGTTCCTTTTTAATATATAATAATATAATTATAATATTTATATAATTGTATATACATTTTTTGTATATTTATTGAATAAAAATGAAATTTATACTTTTTATAATAAAATTAGATGCTTTTTATTAAAAATCAACTAGGATTTTTTATTTTGTTTAGATTTTTTTTTTATATAAGATTTTTATTAAATTTAAATTTGTTACACAAATTAGATTTTTTTAATCATGTTGAATTTGTTTGTTTAATTTTTTTTTTGTCTTTAACTATCCTTTGTAATTAAAAATACATTTTTTATTAAAATGCTTTGGCATGGTTGTAAAAATGGGATAGGGGAGGCCGGCAAATTATAATTTTGATTTCAAAATTCTAAAAATCAATTTGAAATTATTTGCACTAGTTTAGATAATTTCTATGAAGGAAGGGGTTAACTAAATGACCATAATATCCGCTCTTTATGGTTGTACAGCTCTATAAATACATATTATATAGGTATGATATATACCTAATATTTGGAATTGGCTTCATTAATAAACTTGAAAGTGATATTTTCATGTCATATAATTACTTTTAATTATTTAACAGAGTTTTAATGCACTGTTTGTACATCGGTAATTTCAATGAGACCCATAGTAAATGCATTAAAAAAAGAAGATTGATTGGTCCAGCTAAAGAAAAGGCTTTAACGTCAATTATTGACAACAATATTGCTTGCGAAACTTACAGGGAAAAGGAAGCACATCGTCTAATGAAATTAGGTATGTTTAACTTATTATATTTGATACATTTCTTGAACTCTATGATTTGTTATTGTTTCTACCAAAATTCGTATACACACACACACACACACACACACACACACACACACACACACACACACACACACACACACACACACAACCCACACACACAGACACACACCCACAAAAGAACATAATTTAATATATTTAAATTCAATACATGCAATGCTCCATCAGAGTCTAACATATTATTTAATTGACATTTTGTTATGGAATAACATGTTCAAGAAACATTTTTTAATCAAGAAACATCAATAATAATGCATAATGCGTCTTAGCTCTTTCTAGGACATTAATGTTAATTATACCTATAAAATTTTAGTTACCATACTATAATATAAAATATTCAGTATGCGTCTTGAGTATGGTCTATGTCAACCCTTATAGACAGAGGGACCTAGGACATTGCGCCGCGCCGTATATCTTTATATAAATTATTGTTGTTATAGACAAGCAATTATATTAATCAGTAAATCTTGGTTACTCTGTTCGTACTAGGGGACCCTGAACCTGCAATAATTCCATCATCGAATTCATTACGTCTTTGAAAGTCTCGGAAGTTAGCTTCTAATCGTAGAAATGAAGATACATTTATTTCATTGGCATTAATGAAAAAAGAATCGGAGTATAAAAACTTTTTACATAATATGGGATATGAACCTTTTTATATCCATTATCATGCTGCTGAACAAATAGCTATTTATAGGAGTTACTGTTGCATCACTAAATATCCTAAGATAGTTATTGATGCAACTGGTTCGGTAGTCAAAAGTTTTTCAATATATGGCATAGAAGAAAACAAAACGAAATCTCTTTTATTGTATGAAGCTCTTGTATATGATGCTCAAAAACGGCAAAATTTCACGATAACCAATATGATTAGTGAAAGTCATTCAAATATTTCTATATCAAATTGGTAACCAAAACCAAAAGAAGCGGTGTGTGACCATTCCATAGCCCTATTATCTGATATAGTTAAAAGTTTCACACAGTACTCAACTCTACAAGACTATATGATAGCTTGCGCTGAATTACTTAAGGAGACTAAATTTGATTTTCACGGGCTTCCACGCTGTTTTGTTAGAATCGACGTCGAGCATTTTATCAAAATAGACAGAAAATGGACACCGTTAAAATCAATTACTCGATTGGCTAGAGAAATGGTACTTCGTGCGATTGGGTTGTTAATCAAATGCAAAACATTGAATGAAATACGTGTATTGTTATTATCTTTATTTATATTGCTTACTAATGAAACGAATGGAACAATCCCCGAGAATGATGAAGAAACTCCCTGTGAACAACACAAACGTATATTAACTGAAGCAACATCAACTGGTTTCGTTGATTTGCAACAACAGTTTAATGAAATATTATCCTTAGCTGAAACTGAAGAGGATGCTCGCACTCTGATAGAAAATGAGTATGAACGCCAAAATGAAGCTTTGGATTCAAATGAGAATCCATTTCAAACATGGGCTGATGGTATATTGTTAGAAAGTAAAATATTTATAAAAAAAAAGGAAATGGAATAAATCCATTCTATTGCCCTGAATTACCATCGATTCTTATTAAAACAATGAAATATATGCCTTTATGGTCCGGGGTAATGATTCCAATCTTCGGTTACGGAGAAGATATTTCAAGTTCTGCTGCTGTAGGATCAAGTTTTAAGAAACTTAAGAATATCACAATGAAACACATACATTTACCAACAAATATTGAAATATTTTTGGAAAACCACATTGAAGCACTAAAAGGATCCTCACTTATACGTTCTGCTAAAAATGAAATTTATCATTTACCACCTATTCGTCATTATGTCATCAACTCTAAGCCTAAAATGTGTGAAGTTTTAGAAGAAGGTGCTAGTGGAACCGACAATGAAGAAATGTCTGGTATTGAAATAATTGGAAATCAGAGTGACAAAAGTCATGAAAGTGTTGATTCTCAAGATATTATGGTCGATGACACGTTAATAGCAACATTGAATAACGAAATCATGGAAGAAAAAAATAATATGTATAAAACCTATCCGCCATGTAACGTTGGTAAGTATAATACTTATTTAGAAAATTATAAAATATTTGTATATTATGTATTTTAAATTTTTAAATTGTTTATTATTAACGTTTAATAATCTGATACAAATTTAAGAACAATAAATCATTTTAGTAACAGTAATAATATTATGGATAAGAATGAGAGATAATAAGACTTATCCCAGCTAAAATAATTTTTAAATTAATTTTTAATTGATTTTTATACCTGCCTCTTTCAGTATAAGGATAGCAAATATTTATCGGCTCTAATTATTATAAAAGTATAGTTAATAATAATCAAAAAAATAGACTACACCTTTAGTACTATTATACAAATTAATATTTTTTTTTTGAGTATCAAATCTTATTCTATTAATTTAACTTATTTACTTATATTAACATAATAAACAAACTAATATATATATGTAATATATATTTATACGTTTTAACCCCACACTGCATAATTTTTAAACTTTAAAAAAAATATTTCTTTACGGGAATTTGTTGCTGAATTTGGAAAAAAATACTAAAAAAGGTGAAAACCTAGAAGTAGATTAAAATAAAAAAAGGTACATGAAACATATTCTGAAACTATATTGAAATATTAAAAGTATATTGTATTCATTATTTTAGTAATTTTTTTATCGTATTATAAAATTAAATATTTAATATATTCATTTTCTATTTAATTTTTAAATATTTTTTTATTATTGTATTAGAACAAAGTGGTTTAAAAAAGAAGAGAGCCTGGCTGTTGAAAGTTGGAACCGTAAGAAACTCCGAAAATCAAAATCATACCTGGTCCCAAAACCTCATTTGCGATACCTTGATATAAATAATTCACGTAGTATGAAGTCTTTACCAATTTTGAAAAATGGGTCTCGATTCGAGGAGTTAAAAAGCAGCAAAATAAAAAATATCGAAGGAAAAGTTATTTTTACCAACACATGTGCAATTGACTCCTTGACATCAATTATTATGGTAATTATTGACATTGAATACAAATGGTTATTAATTTTTATGATCAATATCTATACATATAATTGCGATAGTAAATATTATTTTAATAAATGGTAAACTTAAATACTACAATAAACTAAAATACTGCAAACTGTTACTACATGTAAACTTATATACAACATACAAAAACCGAATTATAATTTATACTTAAGTCATGTCTTGAATAGATATGCATATTAAAATTATTATCGATAAGTCAATATGTTCCCTATAAAATCACGTATTGCTACTATGGCTTCCACATCATTTCGAAGTTTTAACGGACATATATGTAGGACAACTTCAGAACATTAAAAGCTCAAATTGGGTGACTTGCAAACTTTTTACTCAATAATATCATTGATTAAAAATTTGTATTATGATATTGGTGAGATAAATTTATTAACATAATACTTATAATAGTTTTTACCAAATCTTTGATTATTATAACCTAATAAATTATCTTAATTTTAATCTTAATGTTTTAGGTATGTTATTGCGATAGTCAAAATTATTCAAAAATGGTTGATTTGATACCTTTGGATTACTTTGGTTTCGTTACAAATATTGTGAAAAAAGGCATAACATCTACAACCTACTCAACACGAGCTGAGATAATCATGTGTTATTTAGATCCTGAAATACGGTCATTAGAATATGATACAAAACTAGTTATTTGTGACACTACTGTTGGAAATGTAATAGATAAGCTATTCATTGATTTTCCTTCATTCAAGGAAGTCACCGAGTGTTCATCTAATGTGTGCCTTAACACATCATATATGAATTATACTTTTATAACTATACAAACTGATATGGAATCCAACATTGGTGAACTGCAACAATATTTAAATTATCGCACAAATATAGAAGAACAAAAAGAATGTAAAAATGGAAATTGCGATGGAATCCAAAAAACAAGGTCTGTGATTTCAAAAATGCACCTCTTCATTGATATTTTGTTTTGGGAAGATAATTCTTGTAATAATAATATATTAATTGAGGTTAAACAACTAATTTTTTTTAACTGTATTCATTTTAGGAGAAGATATGATTTCGAGTCAGCGATGTAGTGAAGCTGCTGTTGTATACCTTGTATTTGTTAATAACATCTAATCTTGTTACTAACTTTGCTTAGACTATTACTATTATTATTATCATTATTATCAATTATATTATCTTGTTCAGACCATGTGAGTCAAATAATATCCAACATCATGTTCATATAAAAGTTAATAAGTCTGTTATGTTAATTAATAAAATATGAAATTAAATAAAGTTGTAGTGTTGATTTAAATAAAAGTAAAATATAAAACATGGCGCAGTCTTTGGAGTTATATATTAAATAACCAACGTCCTACGTGAAAATTGTTTAATTGCCTGGATCCAAATCGAAAAAAAAAAATTTTGAAAATGGAATTCAACAGACCGGTGAGAATTAAATTGACCGGTAATATAAATGACAACTTTAAGACATTTAAGCAAGAAATAGAAGTTTATTTCATGGCTACTGAAACATATAAAAAACCAAAAGAAGTTCAGGTGGCACGACTACTGAACCTTTTAGGACCAGATGGTTTGAAATTATTTAACACATTTAAAATTGAAGATAAATCTATTGAAACAATTTTCAAATGTTTGGAAGAATATTGTGTACCCAAAAAGAATGTGGTAATGGAGCATTATAAATACTTTACTAGAAAACAAAATGAAAATGAATCATTTGACAAATTCTATGCTGACTTACGCGAACTTATCAAGTCATGTGAATTTGGAGAAGCTGAAGAAACTCTATTGTGCTCACAAATAGTACTTGGTATACATGATAAGGATCTACAGACAAAATTACTCAGAGAACATTTGCCATTGCCCAAAATCATCAAGTATTGTCAAGCGGTTGAGCAGGCCGAGATGCATCGACGTGTGGTTCAAAAAGAAAGTCCAGCTCTGGATCAAATTGAAGAACGTCAACAATTCAAATCAAAAGGATGGAGTCAAATTAAGCAAAATAATAAGTCACAAAGAAAACAGGAGCATAAGAACAAAAATCAGGTAAATTATAAAAATAAAAATTCAGGAGAAAGTCAAAATAATAATGTTAAAAAGTTTAGTTGTAACAGATGTGGTATATCTCATGGTATAAATGAATGCCCTGCTTATGGAAAAACTTGTAATAATTGCTTTAAACTCAACCATTTTGCAGTAAAGTGTAGAAAAGGTGCTAATAAAGGAGAGTTGCATGAAGTTCAATGTAATAATAGTAATGACGAGGAAGAAGAATTAACTTATTTGTCATTAAATAGCATTGAGTCAGAGAAACAAATAAATTGGACTGATATTGTTGTGATTGATAGTAAAAAAGAATTAAAAATTAAATTAGATACAGAAGCTCAGTTGAATGTAATGCCTCTTAAAGAATTTAAAAAATTAAATAAAAACTTAGAGAAAAGTTCAGTAGTTATTAAATCATTTGGAGGATTTAAAATAGAGTCATTGGAAAAAGTTAAAGTAAATTTAAAAAACTCTAAGAATGAAATTAGTACCTATTTTGAAGTTGTTAATTACAATGATTTGCTAATACTAGGGTTAAAGGATTGTATTAAACTAAATTATGAAATTAAAGAAGTAAATGAAATTAATAGTTGTAAAACAGAAAAAGATGTATTCTTACAAAAGTATAATGATATATTTAATGGTTTAGGAAAATTTCCAGAAAAAATTTCTATAAAAGTTAAAGATGACGCTAATCCTAAAATCTTTCCACCAAGAAGAGTACCTTATAAAATAGTAAATAAATTAAAAGAAACACTAGATAAAATGTGTGAATTAAAGATTATAGAAAAATGTAAAGAACCAAGCGAATGGCAGAGTCCTATAATAATAATTAAAAAACCAGACAAAAGTCTAAGAGTTTGTTTAGATCCCAGGGAGCTTAATAAAAATATAGTTAGGGAAATGTACCAAATACCAACACTAGAAGAAATTAAATTAAATTTATTAAATAAAAAATATTTTACTTTATTGGACCTTCGTGACGGATTTTATCAATGTGAATTAGATCAGAAATCACAAAACTATTGCTGTTTTAGTACACCTTTGGTGGGTATAAGTACTTAAGATTACCTTTTGGCATATCTTCTGCCCCAGAGAAGTTTCAACAAATGACTTCTAAATATTTTGGTAACATTAAAAACGTAAATGTATATTTTGATGATATATTAGTAGCAGGCTCAACGATAGAAGAGCATAATTTAGCGTTGAATGAGGTAATAAAAACTTCGAGAAAATTTAATATTAAGTTCAATTCTGCAAAGTTGCAATATAAAGTGCCTAAGGTAAAGTTTTTAGGATTTTTGTTTAGTAGTGAAGGAGTTCAACCTGATGAAGAAAGAATAAGATCAATTAGGGAATTAAATGAACCATGTAACAAAAAAGATTTACAGTCATTTCTAGGAATGATCAATTACCTGCGGGGATTTATTCCTAACCTATCTGAAATAGTAACCCCTTTTAGAGAACTATTAAAAAAAGATATTATATGGTATTGGACTGTAGAGAATAGGCTAGTTTTTGAAAAAATAAAGGAAATACTCTGTAATTTTCCAGTTTTAAATAACTTTAATTTAACAGAATCATTTGAAATACAAACAGATGCGTCTGAGAGAGCTATAGGATGCTGTATTTTTCAAAATAATAAACCAATACATTACGCATCAAGATGTTTGAGTGATACTGAAATTAATTTTGCACAAATTGAAAAGGAGATGTTAGCCATAGTTTTTGCCTGCACAAAATTTCACTATCTAATATATGGCCAACAATCTGTCAAGATATACTCAGATCATCAACCGTTAGTCTCGGTTATGAGAAAAGAAATATACAAAATACCAAATAATAGGCTTAGGAGATTAAGAGTCAAATTATTAATATACAATGTGAATGTTGAGTATTTACCTGGTAAGCTCATGTACGTAGCTGACTTTTTGAGTAGAAATTATATTAAAAGAAGTGAGCAAAGCGAAGAGTCGTTAAATGATGTAGTACATACTATGGAAATGTTTGAAATTAAATTTGAAAACAATAAAAAGGATGATTTTAAGAAAGAGTCGAGGAAAGACGAAGCGTTAAGTCAAATTGTCAATTACTTAAGTACTGGCTGGCCAAACAAATGCAATAATGGCGGTGAATTGAAGCATTATTTCAAACTAAGAAATGAATTAATATTAGAAGATGGCTTAATATACTTTGGAATGAGGTTAGTAGTACCCAAAATGTTAAGAAGTTATGTTATTAAAATGCTACATAGTACACATCTAGGCATGACAAAGACCTGGTCGATGGCTAAACAGTTATTTTATTGGCCCTGCATGAAGAAAGATATAGAAAGCTTTATAGAATCATGTAATGTTTGTTTAAAATTCAGCTGTTCTAAGGTAAAAGAGCCGATGCTATGTCATGATATTCCTGAACTACCTTATATAAAAATTGGTATGGATATTGCACAGTTCCAAGAGTTAATAATTACTTTTCTAGATGGCTAGAGGTGGAAGAAATCAGAGGTAAAACTACTAGTGATGTTGTTGAAAAACTTAAAAAAATATTTAGTAGGTTTGGAATACCCAAGAATATTGTTGCTGAAAATAATCCGTTTAACAGTATAGAATTTGTAAATTTTTGTAAACAGTGGGATATACAATTAACTACATCCAGTCCGTACTTTCATCAAAGTAATTGCTTGGCAGAAAAATCGGTGGATATAGTTAAAAGCATGTTAAAAAAAATTGGTGAAGAAGGTGGCGATCTGAACACATACTTACTAAATTACAGAAACACACCTGTAACAGGTTTAAGTTACTCACCTGCTCAGCTGTTTCAAAGTAGAAGATTAAGGTCTTTAGTAAATAACTTTAATGAAGAATGTTTAAAACCAATAACTGTTGATGCTAGGGAGGAAATAATTAAAAATAAAAATAAACAGATAATGAACTATAACAAAAATGCAGGAAAGGAAGAAAAAGAGTTTTATGTAGGTCAAAAAGTCTACATTCAAAATGTACTTAATAAAAAGTGGTTCCCAGGTATTATTGTTAACAAAACGGAGTACCCTAGATCTTATATAGTCAAAGATGTAAATGATAAAATACTGAGGCGCAATTCAAAGTTCATTAAAAAAGTTAAAGATTATGATTTAGTTAGTGGTTTTGATGATGAGAGTAATAGGGGTGAGAAAAAAGATAACATTCTAGTTGAAAAAGAAAAAAATAATATTAATGTGCAAGAAAAAAGAGACAGTAATATTACAAGGTATGGTCGCAAAGTTAAAAAAGTTGAGAGATATGGTTACAATCAGTTTTAAGAACAATGCATGAATAGTATTAAGAATTTTGTAACATGTAAATATATAATCATTTATTACTTGTGTATGTCTAGTTAAAAGTCATAGTGTCCACATTTATGTACTATTTAATAATATTTAATGTATTACATTGTTAGCATTAAGTTATTTAAGCTTGTTTATATATCTTATAAATTATAAGATATAACTATCTTAGTGTTTATATTATCATAACAATTGGTTATACTTATTATCAATTTGAATAATTAATTTGATTTAAAAGCATGTAATTAAAATATTAAATTATATATATTATATAATTTAAAAAAAAAAAAAAGAGGAGATGTTGTATACCTTGTATTTGTTAATAACATCTAATCTTGTTACTAACTTTGCTTAGACTATTACTATTATTATTATCATTATTATCAATTATATTATCTTGTTCAGACCATGTGAGTCAAATAATATCCAACATCATGTTCATATAAAAGTTAATAAGTCTGTTATGTTAATTAATAAAATATGAAATTAAATAAAGTTGTAGTGTTGATTTAAATAAAAGTAAAATATAAAACAGCTGCTACGTTGTTAGAAGTAAGATTGTGTGATATTCCGCAAATACTTGTACACGAAACTACAAGCTACGAGCTCCGAGGAGTAATTTGTTTCTACAGAGGAAAAAGTGGTCTAAGAAGATCAGTGGGACACTATACATCATACACTAAGCGATATGGTCGAAACTGGGAGCTGTTTGACGATTTAAAAAAAAAACCAATACCAGTTAAAGAAACGACAACTGTACATTGTGAATTTTTAGTTTACTCTGTTTAATTGTTTAGTATTCAAAAATAATAAAAGATAGAAAAATAACAAAACAATTCGCACTGTTACTAATTTTTATTTTCATTAACCTCTTTTTCTTAATTTGTCTCATTGCCAATAACGATGAAAATAATTGAGATTTTAGTAACAAGCAGTGGTGAAAATTGGAAAAATGTTTAGGGGGGGGGCTTAAGCCCCAGCACATTTTTTTTTAAATTATAATATATAGGTACATACTTTAAGAATGGTATCTGCGTCAATGGTAACAAGCTCTTCAATTCTAATTTGTAATTGTATAGATATTGTAATTGTAAATTATAATATTAGGATTTCATAAAAAAATAGTTAAGTACATGACGTATCAATACGATGATGTACGACATTAGTAAATAATTATTACTGCTATAATAAACGTAAAACTTAAAAATATATACGTATTTAGATTAAGAAATGAAATATTATTTAATTTGTATACCTACATACTTCACAAAAAACAAGGTTGTGTGAAAAATATAATCATGAAAACGTTTATTAAATCTTAATTGATTTATAGATAGACTCTTAGTAAAATTTATCATGAAAACCAACAAGAAGTAAAAAAAAAAAACGATCTAAGCGTATTATCTAGTCAGGAATGAAATTTCTTAACAAAAGGCAAAAGGTAAATTATTTATTTATTTATTATAAGATTAACGCCAACTGGCTTTTATAGAATTTTCCGTTTTTCCTTAATTTTTATTTTGTTTTTCACGGTGCTTTTGAAAACTACTGGAAAAATATTACTTTTGACCCCCCAAAGTACCAACTAGATTCACTTCACTATCAGAAAAGATACTGTTAAAGAAAATCCAAGCTATATTTTACTGTCCTAAAAGGTGATGAACTGATGACAGACACAAAAATTTTTTTAAAAAAAACACATATCATTGTAAAATCAATACATTTATCGTTCAACTACCTTGCAAATCGTTGGGTATTCACACAGTTCCCACGATCTGAACGTACATGTCAAGGGTTTTTGACTGTTGACTACTTTCAACAGTCGAATTTTTTCTCTATCGCTAACTCTCACTATAGGCATCCGCCACAATATTTTTGTTATGTTTATTTTAACGTCTTTTAGTTTAGGAGCGTCTACGACAGCTTCATTATTTTTATACTGTTTGATGGCATTCATATCAATCAAAGCTCTATTTAATATGAGTTGCTGGCTACAGTTTATTAAAATGCGTTTATAATCTTCGCAAAAACTAAACAAATGTTTAAGATTAATACATCCGTTAAAATTACCGCTATCAATAAAATCTTTATTAACATTTTTAAAATCACTATCCCAGGCAGCGTTTTGATGTGAGGAAATATTTGTTTTATTGTACGAACAATATCCTTTTAATGTGGTCGATATACCCGGATTGAAGAGTTTCTGAATTTGATTTCCATTTATTTCATATTTCATTTCGGAGAAAAGAAATGCCAGCCCGTTGTTTATAAATCTAATCTCGTCAGTTATTTCTGTAGGTTTGGTTATTGTTCCCTCGATGTAATATAACTCTCGCACGGTAAAGTATAAGACACTGTGTTATGTAAAGCAATAAGCACCTCATCATTATTAGAAAGAGCTGATGTTGAATACGGTAAAAAAGAATGATAATCAATTTGTGTTATTTCACAATCGTCGATGTATCCAGCCATATTAAATGACGTTAATCGAGCGTAGAAAAGCCAAATTATCAGGTGTTAGACTATGTTTAGTCTGTTTTCGTCTCGAATATTTTTTCTTTTTCGGAGTTGTTACCTTGTTAGTGTTTTTAACACGACTAACGGGTTTTTCATATACAACCCTAATTATATTGTAAAATTGAAGCCCCATCACGAGTCTTGAATTAATAATCGTATTGATACCGGTTCGCCTCGTAGATCGATCAACTCGTCGTCCTGATTTTTTAAAATTATACTTGGGTGTGTTATAGATGTAGAATGAATGGAGTAAAAAACCAAATGTGTTGGTACCTCTATTATTTTATAGCCTGGAGGAACATTCGGATAGAACTCGTGGATTGTATGGCACTGCTTACCGTTGACGAATGAACCCATAACTAGATTTGAATCGATATATACAGGGTGATTTTTTTTATCGAGGAACACTCATTATTTCTGAAAGTTTAGACATTTTACCAAAATTTTTTTTCCAAAAAATTTAGTTGCATACTTTTCTACATTTGTATAACACTTTAATTTTTTTCACCCTTATATTTATTGGTCAAACTATTATCAACTTTTGATTTTCAAATGGTAACCCATAATAAAAATCGTATAAAACAATAAAACTATTTTTTTTTATGAATTATAACGTTAAAATTTTCATTTTATGTTAATCCATTAGCGAGATACAGTGCCTCAAAGTTTGGTGGTTTCACATAAGTAACTGTGCTACTGTTTATAAGTACATAGTATTTTTCGTTCGTAAAGACCAGAAGTTATAACTAATAAATACGATATCGTTCAAAGTTCAACCCAGGGTTTTTATACCTGCTATTATCTAATACAAAATTATGGACTGGAAATGGTGACCAAAAATGTCATGTACATATTATGGTGGGAGTATCCATACGATTACAGCGTTATCTAGTTATCCCATATAGGTACCTGTCCTTTATCTTAATTCGTCAGTGGTATAAGATGGTATAAGAGTGGTAATATGAGTTGTATAAGATGATAGAACAATTATTTGTATTGAAGCGAAACTCGATCAGCTGATGGGTGAAGTGTTTACATAGATATTAAACATTATTTTAGTTTAATATATCAATGAGTGTTTACCTATGATCTGAAGTCCGAACATTGAAACTGTTTCCGTACACCAACTTGATGTTATACCCGTATTTAAAAACTGTTTCCGCCTAATTGGCAGGGTATTCGGCGCGGGGTAGGGTTATTTCCATTGTTTAATACTTTAATATGATATGATATATTTAATTGATAACGTATGCCACGCCCCCTGGATACGTGATAAGATGGTCTATGATTATTACAAATTTGAAATTAAAATATTTACGTTATTTAGTTATTATCATTTACGTGCCATCGTGGTAGGTATGATATTGGTTATTGACTATAATTGTCATTGTCAATGCCTCAATGGTTATTCAGTTATTAACTGAAGTTAACTAAGTTACTTAATTATTTTTTTTCAATTAAATTAAAAATTGAGTTAATAGTGATAAGTGTTAGTCACTTGAATAAAATTGTAATTAATAGTCATAGGCATATTATTACTATTACAATCATTATTGTACTAATGGAAAATAAGGAATAAGTACTAACAAGTAATAACTAATGAGTAGGTATTATTATTTATGGAAATAATCCGTGGCATCGTAAACTATTGATGTCTTCATACGGGCGACTAATGTTACCTCTATATTAATGTGTATATGTACCTAATTAATAAAATATATTAGTTTTTCTTTAAATATAAATACGAAGTTCTTTGTAAATATCTTATTTTTTTTCATTGAATAATATAATAATAAATTATATAATATCTTTTGGACACGTCATGGTGGGTTAAGTATATTATGTATAATCAATAATTGTTAAACATAATTTATTTCAAACAATTTACTGTCATAGTGGCCCAGTTTTTACATAATTGATACATGTATAATTTTCTACACTTAAAATAATTCTGGTTAAAATCAATGTTTCTTAATGCATAAATCTATTTCTGTAGCTAATATATTTTTTTTTTTTGCATATTTGAGTAAAATTCAATTTAAGTTCCACATTTTGCAGATAGTTACAATATTGATTACAATTTACAAGTAGCATATTTTATAAACATCAAATAAAATAATTTAAATTTTGATCAGTACAATTAACACAATCATAAATTTATAATTCTCTACATTAATGACATTTCCATTTGTACATAATAAATACTTTATACAATTTTCAAAGTATTTTTATGCATAAAAATATTCGCATACAATACATTTTTGATACATAAATATGTTCATATTATCATAATATTTAACTTTTTTTCCGATTTTCTTATACGCTACCCAATGAGTACCTGTTCCGTTTTCTATGTCTAAATTAACTACAGCTGACTCTTGATGTTTTGCTAGTCGAGGTAACTTGTCTCTAGCAAATACACCGATGAAATGAGGAATTTTCAACATGTCAGCGTATTTTATAATCTCATAATCGTACAACGCTCTACCGGGTAACGTAGAAATTAGTTTTTTGATCTTGATTTTTTAACTGAACCGACCTTGTGTGGTGCTAGGTATAAACCTTTACCTTTTACTATTTTATAAGAACTACCCTTGTGAGGAGTAAGATATAATCCTTTGCCTAAATGAATAGGAGAGTTTTTTCCAGAATTTAATTCTTTCACGACTTTTACTATATTAGCTACTCCACCGGTAAGCGCGCCTAATGCTGATAAACCAGCAAAAATAGGAATTAAAGGTAGAATTCCGCCATTTATCGGTATTGGTTTAATTTTTGGTGTTTTAGTTTTTTTGTTTTTATTTTTATTTTTTTTAGTTTTTTTCGCAGCTGACAGACATGTTCTTACTACTTTTGTAATATTATTTTCGTTCATTTTATTTTTGATGGAATTTTTAGCAGCCAAAACCATTTGTTTAAATCCGCAACCATCTTCAATCTTACGTTTGACCTTCATAACTGTACTATACTATTTTCAGAATAAGAACGCACCGCGTTCGCGCATACAAATTATCGCCGGAGCAACACTATAGACCCCGGTGAAGGCTAGACGCTCTGTGATTGGTCGTCAGCAGTGTTGCCAGGTTAAACATGTTGAATGTTCAGACAATTATCATAAATTGTTCGTATTTGTTCGTATCTCAGTACAATTTTTTTTATCAATAATTATCATGTTCTGATAAGCCTTATCAGATAAGGCAATCAATTTATCGCTTAATTTTTTGAAGGTTTAACATCAATACAAGTATTATTTTTAATTTTTATGTAGTATAGAGTAAAATAGTAAAATAACTTGTGCTTATAAGGAATCATAATAATAATATAAATAATAAAACAGTGTTTATAATACGCTGTGTCTAGATACCCGGGTGCCCGGGTAGATAAAGCGTACTCGGAACCACGGATATAGATACTATGGTTGCACAACGAGCAATAATATGACGGCGCCAAATGTTCTTATCAAGTTACATATATACATATATAGTATCTATACAAAAAAAGTCGTGACATACTAGCGCTCCACAGTGGCTAGGTAACCAGGGTTGGTTACCGTAACTTAGTAGTGGTTGTAGAGGGCGCCCGTGAAACGCGACTTTTTGTCAGACTTGATAAGAACATTCGGTGCCGCTCGGCGCTGTGATCCAATATAGGCCGTCGTGCAACCATAGTATCTATATCCGTGCTCGGAACCATCCGTGTATCCAATATATACCCGGCTGATTTATGCGCATGCGCCTTAGACACCATAATTTTATTTCCATTTTCCGTGCTTAGAATCCACAAAGGCGAAGCATATTCAGGTGGAATTATATTATTATTGCAAAGTGCACTAGTCATTTCAAAACTCAATGAAATTCATAATCATCCTATATCTCATACTATATATACTTTTCTCTCAAACCAACCGTAAGGTAACACCAGAAACAACGGCAGAAATAATTGCTATGTAGAATTAATGGATTTAAATGCTAATAAAAAATTAATCCATAATAAGTTGCCTAGTGAAACAGAATAGGTTATAACTAGAGCTATGAACTTGCAGAAAAGTCCATTTTTTTAGGGATTGTGAAACGTAGCTCAGTCAATCAAAATTCTTAATTCTTATCAAATACTATATCACAGAATAGAAATTGAATTTCTTTATTTTCATTTATTTTATATATTTTATGTGATAGCAGGTTGATATCTATAGTATTGTGGCCTCACCACAGTATTTATTCTTATCTAAAAAATTCAAAATTTTTCAAATTTAGATTTGCACAAAATGTTCGTATTTAACCCACGATTAAAGATATACAGGTTGCACATCGACTACTGATAAGCTGAAATACGAAATGACTACCAATAATTAACCAGTGTCCAAGCGACAGTATTACAATTAACCGATTATAGATATATAGGTGTAAAATTAGTTCTAAATGTCGACACATAAATTATGGTTGAGTGTTGACATCAAGCGCCACTAGTTAATTATTAACAGCTGTTTTATATAGTCACTTTGTAAATCAATCTGAAAGCCGTTTATTATATGGCGATGTGCAACCTGTATATCTTTAATCGTGATTTAACCGAACGAACGTTCGTTTTATGTTATGTTCGTACACTAGTTGAAATGTTCGTATTAAAACGAACATGTTCGTACGCCTGGCAGTCCTCGCTGCTATTGTCGCGCACTCGCGCTTCGTAGGTCATTGTGCCGCGTAGCAATTATATTATTATTATTATTATTATTACGAAATACCAATATTATTGTAAACAGAGAATCATAATAAGTAATAACCAATTTTTATTTTTCTAAACATTCATCATTATTTTTCTACGCAAAATGTAATATTACACAACTCTTTTTTATTTAATTTATTAACTCTATAGGCATATTGATATTACTCAAAAAAACATAATAACATATTTTATTTACATGATTTTAATTCAACAAAGTCATATATACATACAAATATAAATTGTATACATAAAATATAATACCAAGAAAAATAATATAATAACCAAAGAAAATGAATATTAACGGAAAAAAATAATTTATACATAATAATATAAAATATTAGAAATCATCACCTGAGGTCGTTGAAGACGAACTATTTGACGTTTTATTTCCAGCAATTGTCATTATAACTGGAGTTTCTTCGGCTGTTAACACTTCGTCAACAATGAAGTCTAACTTCCAAAATTTATTTTCTTCTTTTCGGGTATGGCTTATGAAGTTCTTCCACATGGTATCGTCTACTCGATTGATACCTTCAATTAATAATTTCTTCACGTCAGGTAATTTGTATGAAGTGTTATTCATCTTGACATAGTTCTTGACTGATGACCAAGCCAGCTCAATAGGATTGAGTTCACAATGGTACGGTGGAAGTCTTAATACAGTACGATTGTGTTGTTTGGCCAATTCATCGATTACGTACTTATCGTGTAGTGGTTTTATTCTGCGAACTATCGCAAGCAATTGAGGTATGACCATAGGTCGGTCAATTATTTATCTTCCAACCACTTGATTATATCGGTCTTTCTGGTAGCTGATGTAGGTGCTTTATCAATTTTAACGGAATGATACGAGGCGTTATCCATCACAATCACGCAATTTTCTTTGAGGCGCGGCAAAACATTTTTCATCCAATCTAAAAATGTTTCGCCATTCATCTCATCGTGATAATCTGCGATATTTTTTTTTTTGACTCAAATCATAGTAAATCGTCGGGTAAAAAACCATCTTCTGACCCAATATGAAGAACAATGAGTCGCTTACCTTTACCCGACGGGTTTTTAGAGCCAGTTGTAAGACCACGGAGGAACGCACCACGGTTAGATTGTATTGTTTTGTCTATCCACGTTTTATTTGTAGTTTCTCCAGCATTGACCCATGTTTCGTCAAGATAGTAGATAGTACCCTCCGATCGGTATTTGTATAGGTCCTCTAAGTATTGTCTTCGCCATAATACTATTTCGTCCTTTTCAATAAGCGCACTGTTGCATGATCTCGCACAGTATTCGAAGTCCAATAATTTTAACAGATGATATAAATTCGTTTGAGAAATGTGTGGCAAAGAATTGTCGTTCTTGACAGAGGTATATATTTTGGACAATGTTGGAATAGTTTTATTATGCCAAAATGAATGCACATGCTGACGCACAGCATTTCTGTCGAATTCATCAAATGTGTCTTTAAACGAAATCCTTACACGTTTCCTATTTGGAGAAACAACTGTCTTCGTGTGATTGTATTCAGTGATTGTAGTGGATACCGTTCTTTGACCTATCCCGAGTTCTTTTGATATGACGGCCCTACACTCTCTAATTGTAATATTTGGATTTTCTGCTAATTTTTCCTTGTAGCAATTGATAATCATCTCTCTTTGACGAGATGATACAATCTAAAATAACATTAATCGGGTTAAAAACACAAGCCAAATTTTGCGAAAAAAATTATTTAAAATATTTGAAAATCACATTTTTTATGATTAATTGTATTCAGTCAATTGACCTCCAGAGTTACTATGTTATTATACAGTATAATATTATTAAAATTGTGTAAAATTCAACGATATTAAATATATTATTAACATAAAATAGTATTGATATTTATTTAATAAACAATTAAATAACACAAACCATTTTTACTCATCTTTCCCTTAGGATTTCGTTTAACCGGTGACACAGTTACCTCGTCCATTATAATATAAATACAAACGAAAACAATAAAATAGAAAAATTTAAATGCAAATTGAGAAACTTAAAAAAATTCGTAAAACCGTTAAAAACTCGAGTGACGTATTACACGATACACGATAAACAGATCGTTGGTGTTGCCAGCGCCGGCGCCCGACAGCCGTCCGGTGCCGACAGAGCGCGTCGTGCCGATGACAAAAGTCTATGGAGGGGATGGCTGCGCAAACCAGAACCAGTATTCGGCCGCCGCCTGGTGCGTTCTTATTCTGAAAGGAGTTTAACTAGCCAAGACGCCGCTTTTTCCTTGATACTTGTGTTTTTAGATTTAAACACTTCCCAAGCCTGATTTTCTAATACTTCGTCTGCTCTATGCCGATCAGTTAGCGAATTACTTTCTTCGTATGCGATATCATGCGCTCTGGCCAACTCGTCAAGTCTGTTTATACCACGTTCTCCTCGTGCTAATCTTTGTTTCAATTTGGTTTCGGGACCGGCAAATCTATAAACAATTATTCATAAAATTTAAAACGGATTTATTAGTCATAATATATTGTAGCGACTTATCTATAACCAGGTAAATGTAATTCCACTGGTAAATGATTAACAGGGTAACAGAGTTAATAAGACCAGAGCCTTTATTGTTGTTTCGCTTACGAACGTGAGACATCGTGTGACGCTATCGCTAACATAGCACCTATATTTATAGTGAAAAATTTTTTAAAAAAAATGCGCTTTATCGAACAAGAGAAAAAACTCCAAATTTATAATATTGATTCTCCCGAGACAATTCAACAGAGACATGGAGAGCTTTTCCCAAATACGATAAGGTCGTTGGTACTTGGCAGCTCGGGGTGTGGTAAGACCAATCTGATATATTTTCTACTAGTCGATGAAAATGGGTTACGATTTGAAAACGTTTACATATACTCCAAGACACTGGAACAACCTAAATATAAATTATTAAAACGTATTATTGATGGAATAGACGGTATGAACATTTTTACCTTTTTCGAGAATGATAAAGTAATTCCACTAGAGAAAGTTTTACCAAATTCAATTTTTATCTTGGACGATGTTATTGGTGAACACCAAAACGTAATAAGAGATTATTTTTCTCGAGGTCGTCACAATAAAATAGATATTTTTTATCTGGCCCAGAGTTATTCAAAAGTACCAAAACAGTTGATACGTGACAACGCGAATTTAATAGTATTGTTCAAACAAGATGAGACCAATTTAAGACATGTATACAATGAACACTGTTCGGGTGATATGTCATATATACAATTTCAACATTTCTGTGTAACATGTTGGAACCGTGAGAGGTTTACATTTGTTGTTATTACTTATTTGTAAAGATAGTGAGCGTGATAACGGACGTTATCGTTTTGAGTTTGATACTTTTGTAGTTATGTAAGATGAAACAACTAATAAATATTATCATTTAAAACGTAGTCATGACGGAAGCAACTACTGTGTTAGATGAGCTAGTTAAAGCTAAAGAAAGTATTAAACGCAAAAATATCGCTTTAAAAACCGGTTCTGATAATTTTCAACAATTAATGACACAGACATTAAAACCAATTATCGATCCTTTAACTAAAATATCGAATAAACCTCGATTGAACAAAGAAAATATTGACAATAAATAAAAAAACTCAATTTTGGACTACAATCAACAAGAAATTGAAAATTGGTTTCAGTCTACAGACTTGGATAAAATCTATGGTCCGAAAAAACTTACAAACGGACATATTATTTTGGGTAAAAAAGAAGTAAAATTTATAGAAAACACTATACTTATTGACGGTACTGTTTACCCATCTACGTCGGGTCTTAATCAGTTATTATTTTTAAAAAATCAACTTATTTTGACTGATAGCGATTTAGAGGTATATAAATCTATATTAACTCAAACATCAGTACATTTATCTACAGTTGGAAATAAAATAAAAAAGGGTGGTACTAAATACTCAGCAATTATTAGTAAATTATTCCCCTCGGGTGGCGAGCTGTCCATGAAATTACAGAAAAATAACTTAGAGTATTGGGATAATCCAAACGAGTTGGTCGACCGATTACGTCTGCTTCTCGCGTCAAAAGCAGCTGGCAATACAAGCGTTTCAAACGAAATAATTTCGATTTTCGACGAATTACACGAGGCCGGACTAATAAAGCGAATTCCCGATGTCTAAACGGGAAATCGCTAACGAACTTCACAAACCAGCAAGGAAAAAATTCACTAGGCATCGAGTTAACGTCTATGGAAAAAATGATTTATGGCAAGCCGACTTGGTTGAAATGATACCATATTCAAAAGAGTAAATGGTGGTTACAAATACATCCTGGTTGTGATTGATTGTTTTACAAAATTTTCTTGGGCGAAACCGTTAAAGTCTAAGACAGGTAAAGAAGTTACTAGTGCAATGTTTACAATATTACTTGATCGTTCACCTAAACTTTTACAACTCGATAACGGAAAAGAATTTTACAACACCACTTTTGACGCTTTGATGACCAAGTATGGCATACACAAATATTCAACTTTCAGTATTCTAAAGGCTAGTATAACAGAAAGGTTCAACCGAACTTTGAAGGGAAAAATGTATAAAAATTTATTGCTAGAGGATCACACGAATGGGTTTCAATTTTACAAAAGTTACTTGACGAATACAATAATTCATACCATAGAACTATAGGAATGACACCAATACAAGCAGATTCCAACACCACTTCGGTGGTAATAAAACATCGTGAAATTAATACTGTAAAAATTAAGTTTAAAGTTGGTGATAACTAGGGCTAGGATAGTATAGGATTTTGCATTTTTTTTTTAGGATTTACAGGACATAGCTTTTCAAGCACAAAATGTGATTTGGTCATATACGAGTCCAAATTTATAGTTTTTATTTTGCTTTTTTTGCATTTTTTGTACTTTTTAAGGATTTAGGGTCATTTTTTAGCATTTTTAGGTCATTTTTTCAATTTTACGGGCATTTTTTATACTTTTTTGAAATCTAGGTAATATTTTTATACATTTTCATTTACACTAGATGTTCTCGATAAAAGTTTTGAATAAAATAAGAACATATGCCTCGGGGAAAAAAATTTGGATTTCAATAGATGAAACTTCGGATGCAGCTGGTCGATATGTTGCTAATGCAATAATTGGAACGTTGGAAATTGATCATCCAGGTAAAACTTTTATTTTAAATTCCGAATGCCTGGAAAAAGCTAATCATGGAACAATTGCTAGATTTTTCGATAAATCTCCTTTACTTTTATGGCCTGATGGAGTAAAACATGAAAATGTACTTTTATATTTTGTAACTGATGCAGCTCCATAGAGGGTGAAAGCGGCCAGATCTTTAAAGCTATTGTATGCAAATATGGAACATGTTACGTGTTTGGCTCATGCTCTTCATAGAGTATCGGAAGAAATTAGAAAATATTTCCCTTTAGTAAACGAATTCATATCAAATATGAAGAAAGTATTTTTAAAAGCTCCATCTCGTACTCAAGAAAATCGTAAATTAAGAAAATCAAGAAAATCCTAAATTAACATTTTTTTTGCTATTTTTTTATAATATTATAATTTAAATAATTTTTTACCAAAATATTAATTAATAATTAAAATGCATTTTTATAACATTTTAAAATCATTTTTTATCTTTTGGGCATTTTTTAAGGTCATTTTTAGGTTATTTTAAGGTCATTTTTTGGTTATTTTAATGTCATTTTTTTAGGTTTTTTGTGTCATTTATATATTATACAGATAGTATATTAATATTATAA